GAGCCGCCCGTCGGGTCCCCGTGGCGAGGGCGGGCGCGACGCCCCGGGAACCCCTGACCCAGCGGGGGCAGAGGGCACCGGACCGGGCATCCTGGGGGCGGGCTCGCCCCAGCTGCCAAGAAAGCGCAGGGGGCGTTGCGAGACCAGAGGCGCGGGGGACGGGAGTCGGAGGGTAAAGTGCAGGATTCCAGCGAACCCTCCCCCACGTGCCCACTCCCCTGCCCTCCAGGAAAGGGAGCTCTAAGCCCACGATGCCATCTTCCCCCACCCTGGGCATCTTTTCGCGATTCTTATGTGGCAGGGTCCGGAAGGCGAGTATTGTAGCTTCTGGGGCCCGCTCCCCCTGGAGCCCTCGGAAGCTCTTGCGCCCCCCTTCCGTGAGGGGGACCCAGGAAGGGGCGGAGAGGCTTTCCTTAGGGAATCTGCCCACCTGTCCCACGACACGCCCCGGTCGGCTGGGTTGCTGTGAACACGCCACCCTGAAGGGTTGGTGGGGAAAAAGCGCGTGCCAGGCCCCACGCACTGAACACATGGTCCTCACGGCCTGTCTCTCCCGGTTCCCACCCGCGCCAGGTGAAGAGCGGAGCTGAAACCATGGTTCACCAGGTGCTCTACCGGGCTCTGGTCTCCACCAAGTGGCTGGCCGAGTCGGTCCGGGCTGGAAAGCTGGGGCCTGGCCTGCGAGTACTGGACGCGTCCTGGTACTCACCGGGCACCCGGGATGCCCGCAAGGAGTACCTGGAGTGCCATGTGCCCGGCGCCTCCTTCTTTGATATAGAGGAGTGCAAGGACAAGTCGTCACCCTACGAGATGATGCTGCCCAGCGAGGCGGGCTTCGCTGACTACGTTGGCCGCCTGGGCATCAGCAATGACACACACGTGGTGGTATATGATGGTGACAACCTGGGCAGCTTCTATGCACCTCGGGTTTGGTGGATGTTCCGTGTGTTTGGCCACCGCACAGTGTCAGTGCTCAATGGTGGCTTCCGGAACTGGCTGAAGGAGGGCCACCCCGTGACATCTGAGCCCTCACGCCCAGAGCCTGCAGTCTTCAAAGCCACACTTGACCGCTCGCTGCTCAAGACCTACGAGCAGGTGCTGGAGAACCTCGAGTCTAAGAGGTTCCAGCTGGTGGATTCACGGGCCCAAGGGCGGTTCCTGGGCACCCAGCCGGAGCCAGATGCTGTAGGTAGGTGTCCCAGTGGGTGGGGTAGTCCCTGGGGAATAACGCCCAATGGAGGGATGGGGAATAAGGATGTCTGGGACCCTCTTCAGGTTTTGCCCTCAGTACCTCCTATGTAGGCCTCAGTTTTTCCATCTGTAAAATGAGAGGATAGAGTCAAACCTAAAGGCTTTTCAGCCCTGATGCATGAGGACCTCCAATGTGGTCCCATAATCATGTGCAGACAGGCACCTAGCATGCATTTGGGGTGGCGGCATCAGCAGAGGTGACTGGTGACATATCCACCCACATCCACACCCAGGCACTAGCTGCCCACATGCCCGTGAGCCAACACACAAATCACTGTGCAGGGGCCTCTCAGTCCCTGTACCTAACTTCTCAGGGCCTCTCTACTCCTCAGAAACCCTTATAGATGTCAACAATGTCCTTCCCCCAGTCCACCCCTCCAGCTCTCCCAGGACCCCTGACCTTTCCAAGCAGGGCAGCCTGTCTGCAGAGCTACCAGCATCTGCCATTTCAGGCTAAGCACTCGACATTGCGTGATCTCGTCCAACAGGCTTAATATCTCCATTTTAGAGGGGAGGAAACTGAGATGCCAGGATATTGTTACTTGCTCAGTTAAGTGGCAGAGTCAAGATTTGAATCCAGTGCTGCCTAGTTTCAAACCAGTGAGCTAAACCAGGATGCATCGCCATTTTGCCCATCCCCACCTTGCAGGCCCAGGAGGGAGCTCCCTCCCTAGGCATCAGCAGGGAGATGGCACAGAAGTTTTCCCTCTCCTGTGGAGGATTCTACACAGCTGGGGGTGGGGATGATCTCCAGAGAGGGAATGCAGAGTTTTAGAACCTCAGAGGTCTTGCCATCACGCCTTCTGGGTGGAGTACCTCTTGTCAGTGCTCTTGGGGCCTCTCATGACCCAGGTTGGCCTGAGCCCTCAGAGTGACTGGCACCTCCTAGGGCAGTGGCTCTGTCCTCAGTCAGGATGCCTCTGCAGAATCAAACTCCTGTGCAACATTTTGCCTAACTTGTTGAAAACTATCTCTTCCTCTCTGTGCCTCTGAAGAAGAGAACTCTGAAAGCTATTTCCAACACTGAACTGAAGGGCCAGAAAGGCCACCTCTTAGGACAGAAGGGAGACTGAGGTACACAGAGGAAGGGGAAGGTCAAGGCCACAAGGCTAGTTAGTGGATAAGCCAGGAGAATGCAGGGTTCTGCTGTCCCTATTGTGGTTTTTTTCCAGGCCCTGTTTTATCCTTGCCCAGCTTGCTCTCTGAAGGTCCAGAGTTGAAGATTCAAGTTATTTTGTCACCTTCTAGAGACTCCTGGCACAGAGCTCCTGCAGCCCCCTCATGGCCTTGGTTCAAGCCGCCTTCTCTCCTTGGGACTTAAGCTGCCGCTGGGGGAGGATTGTGGAGTTGTTCCCTGAGCTGCTTTCCAGCTTGCCCCGAAGCACTCTGAGAATAAATGAAGGGAGAGCTTAGAGATGCCAGACCCAGCCTCTTCACTCCCATTTTAGAGAGGAGGAGACTGAGGCTCAGAGAGGGGAAATGGCCTGCTGTGGGCGATGCCTCCTGGAGGCCTGGAATTTTCAAGCTCCACCCCCTGCCCGTGGCCCTACTTCCACCTCCTGCAGTTCCCATCTGGAGCCCTGGGGAGCAGGGTTCCTAGTTGAGGTCAGCCCCTCATTTGTGGTGGGAACTCAATCCAATTGCTCAGCTTCCCTGGGTTTCTTTATTATAAAATGAGAGGAGAAATGTCAGCGCTTCCCACCTGGGGGTGTATTCCTCTAAATGCAGCAGTGGCTGGAAGGATATTTTGAGAAGGGCGAGGAACTGTGCAAAGGCCAAGGCCGTCTACAAAGGCACGGAGATGAGGCACCTCCCTCCCTTGTTTTCTAAGGCTTTGCTGGCCTTCCGCATGAGACATTTTGGGGACAAAGGCTCATGAGGCTCTGCTGAATTCATGGTCGCCAACTTGGGATGGGATCAGGGAGGCAGCCCGTGGGCCCCAGATGTAACACCCGGGGGAATGTGGGTGGCCGGCCCTGGGCATCCCTGGAGAGTGTCCCCCAGGAGGTAGCTGGAAGCAGGGCCTCAGAAACCTAACAGCCACTTCCTGCTGAACCCATGCAAGCAACTCCCCCTCGGGCCTCAGTTTTGTGTCCCCTGTGGCTTTGGTCCTGTTTGCAAGGGGAGCGAGGGGGGAGGCAGACGCCTGAGTTTATATCCTGGTGTGGCACTCCTGTGTCGCCTTGAGCAAGTCCCTTCAGCTCAAAACCCATAATGAAAGGAACACTGCTCACCTAGGCTAGGAGCCTGGGGGCAGGGAGGAAACAGGTGGGAATCGATCCAGCTCAGCGTCTCTATAAACCCAGGCTCTTTTCCTTCCCCCTGCGCGGGGGAGGGGTGAGGCTGAGGAGGGAGGATTGACCCCTAACGAACACTCCTGTTTGCAGAATCCTTTTTATGCTCTCCTTGACACCGACGGCAGCCCTGCACAGGGAGGCAGGTGGGGGTTAGGGAGCAGAGACTTCTCTAATGAGGCAAAGTGGCCAAGACTTGACCCCAGCCTGCAGGCATCAAAGGGGGGCTGTTTCCCAAGACCACTGTGTGTAAGCAAATGTGAGGACTGGGAAGAAAGGTCCCAGCTCTGCTGTTGCTGTGGGATCGTGTGGCCCCTCTGCCTCTCTCTTGCCCTTGAACGTCTGGGGGCTGGGGCCAGAGGGGCGCGGGAAGAAGGTGCCAAGATGCCTCCCAGTGGCCAGGGTTGGGGGCTACCCACTGGGGCTACTTGCCCGGAATTCCTTAGTGTCTTTAGGAAGAAAGCAAGAAAGAGCCAAACAGGCTTTCCTGGCCTTGAAAACCCACACCTCCCAGTAGCTTCACCAATTTGACTGGCATCTTGGCCAAAGCTGGAACACAAGGCCCCAGACCTCTGGGCAGCTGAGGGAAAGGAGGGGTCGTCTCCTCCATCCTCAGCCTCAGCCCCCTCTTCCAGGGCGGCTCCGGTCGGGGGGTGGGGGGGGTCAAAGAGCACCGGCTTTGGGGTCACACAGACCTGACTTTGCCTCACACACCTGTACTGTGTGTCCCGGGGTAAGTTACCTCACCTCTCTGAGCCTGGGCTCCCCTTTAGTGCCAAGAGGATAAAGTTGTATGATGACCCATTGTCTGGGGGCCAGAGGTTACGAGCATGGCAGCTTGCCTGCCGGGGGGAGGGCAAGCCGGGCCTGCAGCTGGAGTTGCACTCGGAAGAGCAGCAGGTCCCGGGTCCATCCATCCCGCCTTTCCTCCAGTTGGCTGTTATCCAAGTTGCTCTGGACTGATTCCTTCCCCCCCTCCCCAAGCGCCTCCGTACGGCCCCCCCCCGGGGGGGGGCAGGGAGGCAGTTTCTGCTCATTTCAATTCCTCAGCCCCGCCTGGGGCCCTCGCTGGCAGTGCTGCAAAGGAGGCCGCCCCCCTGGCAGGAGGGCTGCAGAACTCTGACTTCTTCACTTTTATGTAATCAGAGGAAAACAATGACGCGGGTTCATGGGGGAACCGGGTGGCGGTGGGGGAGCGTTCAAACTCAACAAATGCTTGTGCTTTTAAATGCACCAAATCCAGCCCACTGCGTGAATGCTGAACATTTAAAAGTTGGGCTTCTTGGCAAACAACCCCCTGATGAATTGTTTCTCACTGGTAGGATCAGCACCCATCCAATCCCAGATTAAAGGTTCCAGACAAGAAGATGAAATCACCACAGGAAAAAATTGCTATAATTTTATACATTGGACATCTATTTAATCAAAGGAACTCTTTGAGTCGTGCTAGCGAATTTCAGAATCCTCTTTGACCTTGGGTGAGAGGAATGGGACATTGCACACCTACTGTGTGCCCAGGGTCATTAGGGGCTTTTACCTACAGTAACTAACTTCTCCACAAGCCTGAGAGGTAGGTGGGATTATCTCCCCATTTCACAGTTGGGGAAACTGAGGCTCAGAGGTGCAGGGCCTGCTTGGCTGCACAATACCCGAGTGTGTGCCCTGGTAACTAGGTCAGGTCCTCTCCCACTGCTGCCCACCCTGATCCTGCTCCCATCCTGGGAGCTCAAAGAGACGCTCAAAGGTGTCTTGGGCCCCACTCCCAGTGCCCAGTCTGCTGGAGTGTGGGGCACTTGAGATAGAGGAGCTCCTGGGCATGCTGGGAGCTAGACCAAGGCCTTGGCCCTGTGGGTGGCACCAGCTCTGGCTGTGCCTAGTCCACTGTATCCAACCTGCTGGCTTGTCTGAAGCCAGATTTGGCAGAGGGCACTCACTGGGTGCAAACAGTTCTGAAATGGACCCCAAAGCCAGCCCAGACCCCCATTCTGCTTCCATCCAAGCCTCTCAGAGTTGCTAGGAGGCGCCTAAAGAGACAGACCACACTATCCCCAGTCTCACTTGCCCCCTGGTGTGGGTGGTGAAGTGATGGGAGCCACAGCATCTGAGAGTGGCTGGGCCAGCCTCAGTAGTCAGGGCTTCACTCCTTACAACAGCCCTGACACATGTGACTACGCTCATTCCCATTTGCCCATGGGGAAACTGAGGCTCAGAGAAGTGAGGTCATTTGCTTAAGGTCAGCCTTCTGGTAAGTATCAGAGCTGGGATTTGAACTTATGTCTAACACCTGGTCATGCGCTCCTTCCACAGCTGTGTGCTTAACAGGAAAACCTGGTGACTTCGTGCCATCCTGGGTCTGCCTTTACCTCTCTGTGTGGCCTTAGGGAAGCCGTTTTATTTTGCCAATGTCATCTATATTGCCTCAGTGTATTCACCTGTAAAATGGAGTCATGTTAATATTAACAAATTCTGAGGATATCTGTTTAATGTTTATCTTCCTAACTAGACCATACTCCCAGAGAGCAGGGCTAAGTCTCTCCTTTCACCTTTGTTCTCAGCAGTTGGCAGCACATAGCATTCACATTAATCATTTCATTTGCTCTTCTCAACAACCCTATGAGATGGGTCTGCACCACTGACCCCTTTTACATCTGAGAAAACTGAGGGTCAGAGAAGTGCCACGATTGACCCAAGGTAAGGGTTAGTAAATGGTAGAGCTGAGACTCATATCCCTGCCCTCTCCAGCAGGTATGATTTTGGACATTCCTACATCAAGGCAGTTTTGGGGGAAGAGGGCAATTTGTCTTAAGTCATGGACATTGAATATAGGTAGGGCTGGGAATAAACCAAGCTCAGGGAAGGGCAGAGACATTATTTTTACTTGCAAACTACCCTATCCTTATAGTCTTGGCTGTTGAGGCCTCCAGGCCCCCCTACCCCGGGTGCCTTCCTAACCCTGCCCTTCCCTCTGTTCTCTGCCCCTGCCAAGGACTGGCTTCCGGCCACATCCGAGGCGCAGTCAACATGCCGTTCATGGACTTCCTGACCGAGGATGGCTTCGAGAAGAGCCCAGAGATGCTCCGGGCCATGTTCGACGCCAAGAAGGTGGACCTCACAAAGCCCCTCATTGCCACGTGTCGCAAGGGTGTCACTGCCTGCCATATCGCCCTGGCCGCCTACCTCTGCGGCAAGCCCGACGTGGCCATCTACGATGGCTCCTGGTTCGAGTGGTTCCACCGGGCCCCGCCAGAGACCCGCGTGTCCCAGGGCAAGGACGGGAAGGCCTGAGCCCCGAGCCTCTCCACTCGCCCGCAACCCAGCCGGGTCAGTGACTGCCTGGCTGCCCTGCAGCTGGCTCATGCCCTCCAGCGAAGGGGACCGGCAGGCACAATTTTAGAATCGCTGGGTCAAGCTCCCCTTCCCCCCAACAACACTGGAATAAACGTGGCTTTTTCTGAGTCACTGTGTCTGCCTGCCTCTCCCTGGCTTCCATCCTTGCCCCGCACCCCCCATATTTCCATCTCCTGCAGATTCCTCAGAACCCACCAAGGAAAGAAACCCCCGTAGCAACCACCAGCTGGGGAAGCCACTTTATTGTTTAGTGTTGGCAGAGGAGGCCCCCTGTTCCACACCAGGTGGGGCAGGCTGGGGCCTACCTGGCAGGGGCACCAGGAAGCCAGAGAGAAGTGAGACCACAGGTGGCCAGGCACCAACCCCTGCTGTGGGACCCGCCCTCTGGGTGTGTGTGTGTGTGTGTGTGTGTGGTTGGGAGGGGGGTGGGGACAGCTGGCCTTCCAAGTGACTGTTCAAAGAGATGTCACAGGACTCAGGCCTTGGGCCCTCAGAAGAGGTGATGCTCAGAAGCAGGCCAGAGGAAGGTGGCTTCCACCTTAGGTGACCTTCCTGGCTCAGAGTAAGACCCTCTGGGGCTGGTGAGGGAGGGGCTGGAGAAGCAGCCAAGCTCCTGAGACGAGGTCTTAGAGCTCAGGCTGGTGAACCAAGAAGCTACTGGAGAAGAGTCACCTAGCAGGGTGGACCCAGGTGGCTGGATCTCCAGTTTTCCAGAAACAGGCTCTCTAAACCCTCCTTTGGGGCCATAAGATGATTCCAGGCCCTACCCACTGGGGGTTCCCTGCTGCCTGCTGTCTAATTTTGTTATTTTTTTGTTTTTTTTTTATTGTTGAAAGTATTGCAGATGTCCCCCTTTTCTCTCCCATTGATCCCTTCCACCCCTCATCCATCCCACCCCCAGGCCTTCCCCAGACCAATGTCTGTGTCCATGGGTTATGCATATATGCATATAAGTTCTTTGATTAATCTTTCCCCACCCCCTTCCCCCTCCCCACCTTCCCTCTGAGATCTCTCAGTCTGTTCCGTGTTTCTATGTCTCTGGATCTATTTTGTTCATCAGTTTTTTTGTTTATTATATTCCACATATGAGTGAGATCATATGGTACTTGTCTTTCTCTGACTGGCTTATTTCACCTAGCATACACTCTCCAGGTCCATCCATGCTGTCCCAAAGGATAAAAGATCCTTCTTTACAGCTGCATAGTATTCCACGATGTAAATGTCCCACAGCTTTTTATCCACTCATCTGCTGATGGGCACTTGGGCTGTTTCCAGATCTTAGCTATTGTAAATTGTGCTGCTATGAACATAGGGGCGCATATATTCTTTCTGATTAGTGTTTCAGGATTCTTAGGGTATATTCCTAGAAGTGGGATCACTGAGTCAAATGGCAGGTCCATTTTTAATCTTTTGAGGCACCTCCATACTGCTTTCCACAGTGGCTGCCCCAGTCTGCACTCCCGCCAGCAGTGTCCTAGGGCGCCCTTTTCTCCACACCCTCGCCAGCACTTGTCGTTTGTTGATTTGTTGATGGAGCCATTCTGACAGGTGTGAGGTGATGCCTCATTGTGGTTTTAATTTACATCTCTCTGATGATTAGTGACTGCTGTCCAATTTTTTTTATGTGTATGTGTGTTGTAATAACGTGAATTTATTAAAGAAGTAAAGCAAGTAAATTTATCAAAAAGCAAGGCAAGCAAATTGTCAAAATACATCTGGCATAAAGCACAGATGGACCCTCAGCTAATCTGAGGAACGTTGCCCAGTAGAGGCTTAGCCTTTTATACTGTCTATAGGCTTTAAAATTTCTCTGCCGGATATCTTGGTACAGACTGGATCTCGAGGTCTCCCTTTTACTTTTTTATGGTTTTCCCAGAATTTATGAGGAGCATTCGGTGATTTTATTTTGAAGAGCCCTGAGACTGCTGGCTCTCTGTTTAAGGAGTGAGATAAAAACTCCCCCTTCTCTTCCCCTTCCCCCCTTCCTATGTCCAAGTTTTGAAAGAGGTTCTACTGTGGGTAAAATGCCACCCAATAGCGTCACACTCTATAGAAAACCTGTTCATGAAAGGAAGAGTCCATCGATGCAGCGAACTTCATTGTTGTCTTATATTGAGAAATTACCAGAGCCACCCCAGCCTTCAACCACCACCCTGATCAGTCAGCAGCCATCAACACCCTCCACTAGCGCAAAGATTACGACCAGCTAAAGGCTCAGAGGATGGTTAGCATTTTTTAGCAATAAAGTATTTTAAATTAAGGTGTGTACATTGTTTTTACACATAATGCTACTACACACTTAATAGACTATTGCGTAAACATAACTTTTATATGCACTGGGAAGCCAAACAATGGGTGTGACTTGCTTTATTGCAATATTTGCTTTATTGCAATATTTGCTTTATTGTGGTGGTCTGGAACCAAACCCACAGTATCTCTGACCTTTGCCTGTACTGTTAGAGCCTATAGGTAGTTAATGCAGGGGGCAAGAGCAAAAACAGGAAACCGGTGGGGAGGCAAGTATGCTAACCCAGGCAAGCGGTGGTGGTGGTTTCAACCAGGGTCAAGGGAAGACGTGGAGCTGGATAAAGGGGTCCCGGTCCGGTTTCTTTGAAGGCCTTGGAGGTGGGTTGCTTATGGGGTTAACTCAGAGTTATAGCGACATTTCTCTCTGCCAGGGAATGTTCTGGGCATTTCACAAAAATGACTTCGTTCAGTCCTCACTCTTGCCCTGGGAGGTGGGTTATATGTGTTTCACATATGAGGAAAGTTCAGCTAAAGAACATGGACAAAGCTGCTCTTCTAATGAGTGGCAGGCCCAGACTCTGGAGACCCCAAGGTGAACCACAGCACTCTGCCTCCTGCGGAGACCTTGAAAGGCTGGGCATGCAGGGGGTATTCCCTGTACCCCCACCCCTGCTGAGCAGCAGCCAGACAGGACTCAGCGGCTGGCACCAACTGTGGAAGTCATTTTATCTTATATAATCTCCTGAAGCCCTTATGTTTCAAAAGGAGGAGCGTAGACCCTCCCTGTTCCACCTCTGCTCTAATTTTACTCCTTGGTTCCTGATCCCTTCACGTCCAGCTCATACAGCCCAGGTGCATCTTTCCCTCCCCTCCCCATTCCCCTTGACCTACATTTATGCTCATAAGGACATCCATGCCTTTAATATTTGCTTCCATTCTAAACTGTTGAACTCCTATGCGTCCTTCAAAATCCAGCTCAAGTGGCCCTTCTGTGAGTCCTGTCTTCTTTCCCTAGATAGAACTAATCACCCTGTACTTAATCCTTTGTAATACCAATAACTTCGTTCCCACTCGATGGCACCTGAGCCCTCTGTGCCTGGTATACACAACCTGGCACGTGGTGGGTGCTCAAGGTCTATTTTGCCCGTCAGTGCTGGCTTTCTAAAGCCTCTGCTCCCTAGGGTTGGCCTCTCAGCCTCTGAGGTAACAGAGCCCTCTGTGTAGTGATCACCATGGAGACTCCAATGAAGAGCAGGGGCGGGCTGCTCCCTAGCAACCATCCTTTGGTCTTCACCAGCAACTGTGCAGTGCAGATCTACACTCCTGGGCTCCAGCACACTGGAGCGGCTCATGTGTTTTCTGACGGTATAAAGGAGAGTGGAGAGGTCAGGCAGATACTTGCAAGGTGGGCCAGGAGTCTGTCGGGACACAGAGCTCACCTTCCCTTTCCCCATTCAGAGTTGCCTGTGAGTGAAGAGTGCTCAGACTGCAGCTGGACCTCCACTTTCTCCCTCCTTGACCAGCATCTCTTGGGACCTTCTCTCCAGGTCAGAAACTGCAGTGAGGCCACACCGGGGGTGCCATTTGGGCGGATGGGAAAGCTGCTCTGTGCACTTCAGTTGGGTGGCTGGAATGGGGAATGGGGACAATAGGAGAGAACTCACCTGAAGGAAATAGAAGATGGGCTTGGTTTCAACACCACCTGGGTGAGGTCCTGTTTCCTTCCTGAGCCCCAGTTCCTCCCTCTGGGAAAGAGGGTAAGTTAATACTTTCTCTGAACCCCTCACCAAGTCCTTGTGAAGATAGACTAATCTACTAGACTGCATAACAAATCACCCAACACTTAGTGGCTTAAGACTATCATCTCACAGTCTCTGTGGGTCAGGAAAACAGATGCAGCTTCAATGGGTCCTCTGTCTCAGGTTCTCCCACAGGCTGTGGTTAAGCCGTTGGCCGGGGCTTCGGTCTCATCTCAAGGCTCAACTAAAGAAGGACCACTTTAAGCCCCTCATGTGGTAGGATTGTGAACTGAGGGCCTCAGTTCCTCATCAGTTGTTGGTCAGAGGCCACCTTCAGTTTCTTGCCCTGTGGGCCTCTCCAGAGGGCAGCTCCTAACATGGAAGCTGCTTTTGTCAGAGTGACTGAACCAAGAAGCCCCAGAGAGTGTGTGAACAAGACAGTCATGGTCTTTTATAATCTCATCTTTGAAGGGGCATCCCATCACTTTGGTCCTATTCTATTTGTTAGGAGCAAGTCTGTAAGTCCAGCCCACAGCTGAGGCCAGAAGTGGAATTACCCAGGTGGGTGAATACCAAGGAATAGGGGACACTGGAGCTATGTCAACTGCCCCCATCTCACCTTTGATGACCATATACGTCCCTTCCACATGCAAAATACATTCCTCCCCTCCCACAATCTCCAAACATCTCATCTCATTAGAGCATCTCCTTAAAATCTAGAATCTGGTCCTATAAATCAGGCCCAGGTGTGGATAATTCTCTTCAGGTGTTGTTTCTTGAGTTCAGTCCTCCATCACTAGATCTGTGAAACTAAGCTATCTGCCCTGAACACACCTGACATACAGTGGTGTGGCAGGTATAGGGTAAGAGCTGCAGACATTCCTATTCAAATACAAGGAAAATGGAAACACAGTCACTGGTCCATAGCAATTCCGAAATCAGGCAAATGTTGGGCTTTCCTTATTAGTTTTCAAGGCATGGAAATAACTCTCCATGATCTCAGCTTTGCCCTGTGGACCCTTGCTTCCACTCTCTAAGTTATCCTTTAAAAAAAATAGTAGTGCGTGTTGGCAGCTGGATGGTTTTTTCAGACTATTTTCTGTCAGAATTTGGAAGTCCACTGGTCTCTCTTCATTCTGAACTGTCTCTGTCCCTTTCACTCCAAGCTGGCAGTACTTTTTCCAATAGTTTTCCCCCAAACTGTGACACTGCTCTTCTCAACTGTCATTCCTGCTGAGAGATAACACCCTTAAGCTTCCTAGAGGCCCTGTTATTCCATTAAGAGAATCTGTGAGGCATATTTTTATCTCTTGTAAGGGCCCATTGTGTGACTGAATAATACTCTGATTCTTTCATCTTTTTAATGTTTTAACAAAAGGTTGTGCAGTCACACCCTTGGCTACATTTTCCTGACAGTGATCTAAAGTTCTTTTCTTTTCTTTTCTTTTCTTTTCTTTTCTTTTCTTTTCTTTTCTTTTCT